GTTTACCTTGTAAGAGTCGTTTAATCCCCTGATTATCAGCCTATAAACGTGTTGTTATCGATTCCTGGACGAATCGGAGCTAAAGGTGGCTTTGTCGCTTAAGATTAGACCAAACATTGAAAACAAAGGGGGGAATGGGTAAAAAAGTGGTGTAAAAGTAAAACAAGTTACTCCCTGCGAAACACCTGCCTTACTCTCCTCCCAAGTCTCCGGATGACAGACTTCTTCTTAGGCAGGGTCTGTACTTCCACGGAGACCTACAACACAAAACGAATGATTACAAAAAGTCAGATATACCATCACGGGTCAGGTGGTCACTTTCGCTTTAAGCTGAAATGAATTTTAAAAAATTGTTTCCTTTTATTGCCTTAGTTTTCGTTATTCTTATAACGACTTTACGTATTTAAGATGAGCTGGCTCTATTAAAAATAAAGACGTAAAAATAGACTTGAATTGGGTTGTTAAAAGCTTAGACTTTAAACTAGTAAAACACAACCCCCCTACCCTCCGGGATCGGGTATTCATCCAGTTAGACAAATTTCCAAAGTTTGAGTATTTATTCATTAGTGGGGTAATTAACTCGAACTACGAAAGATCTCTTCCTGCAGTCAAGTTGCGCGCCTATCAGGTAACACGAACCCACACAACTTTTTTAATGACATCTAGTTACGCGCACTGCATGACAACGTCAAATATGGGTGTGGTCGAGCGCGTAACTCGAAAAGCGCATAATTCGAAGCGCGTCACTCGACAAATACCCGTACTCCTACCCTTCGTCCTTCTCGCACAAGCTTTGCACTATAAGTAAAAACAGAAGAAGATAAAATTATACACACTTTTTCGATGTTCTTAATTGCATCCAGTTCGTTCTTTGCGTCTTTTAAAATCCTTTAAGAAATCAATCGTTACACGATTAGCATTAATGTAACTAATTATAAGTTATATTAATTAATTATAAATTATTTACAAATTACAAATAATGGTCTTACACCAAAACACTGGCGATTTACAAACAATCTATGTAGGATGCTATACTCACATTTCTTCATCTTGCATTTTCATGTTCTTTATCTGTAGACACAAAAATAATACTATTTAACATAGTTAATCCAGTATTATTATTGGCACATTATGTTCGACAAAATAGTTTATTCTTCATTTTCCTTGATAACATATTTCTTCTCACCTTTTCTTTGTCCAGCTCTTTCTTCATTCTAGAATTGCAAATTAAATAATAAAAGTAGTGTGATTAAAAAGTAACCGGTAATCAACCTGCGTCTGGCATTTAAAACATATATGGAAATTGTGTTATTGACAATAATTAACACATTACAATTCTGAGTTATTGACAGATTTAGTGATTTAAGAGATGAAAATATCATAAACACCAATTACGAAAAGACATACTGAATTGAAATCGGAGTTTGTCCATTTTCAAGGTAAAAACAACGAGATTTTGGGACTTTTTTTTGGGAACGTAGTTGTTCTGTGTGTGTAGCTTTGTCAGCATGATTATTTGGTTCAAACATTTATTCTCTTTCAGTTTTTACGACGTATTTTTTATAACTAATTTTGGGCTTCTTTATTATATTTTTTCTTCTCATTTAGTTGTGATATTGTTTTTTTTTGCTCTATTATTCATTTTGTCTGTCATCGTCAAAAACGGGAAAACTTGTGTATCGCAGTGTACTCAGTGTACTCAGTGGACCAAGTACTTTATTCCTTCCTGTTATCGATCATGGTGAACCACGCTATCTAAACAAGTGATTCAGCAAACTACAGTATTAGAAAATACTTACGCATCCATCTCCATTTTCATTTCCTCCATCTTTTTCTGTAGGAAATGAAAATGTTATTGTTAGCTTTTCTAAGAATTCTTGACGTTTGTTTTGAGAATTAACAAACACTTTAGAATGTTTTGCTGGAGTCCTTTTTCTTTTGCTGATAACAGATTTCTTCTTACCTTCATTTCATCGTTCCTGTTCTTTTCGCTGTGCATGGAAATAAAAATGGAAAGATAGCTCAAAGGTTAATAACTGAAAACAATGTTCACAAGTAATAAAAGATGGCCTCTTTTGGGACACTTGCTCTAGATGACACACAGTGGATCAAGTATCGTAACCCTTGCTATAGATGATGGGCAGCGTGCACCAACTAATAAATCCCTTTCTCTAGATAGCCCACATTGGACCAAGCATCTAACCCCTTGCTATAGATGATGCGAAGCGTGCACCAACTAATAAATCCCTTTCTCTAGATAGCCCACATTGGACCAAGCATCTAGTCCCTTACTATAGATGACGTATAGCGTGCACCAACTAATACATCCCTTTCTCTAGATAGCCCACATTGGACCAAG